CAAAAAGTGTGACAAGTGCTAATGATTCACGAACATACCGCGAGCTTCTTCCCCCCAACTGATAACAATGACCAGCCCCTGGCCATTCTCCATGTGGGGAATTAATCTTATTGGACCTATGCCAGCCAGAAATGGAGGAGTCAAGTGTGCTGTGGTTGTAGTGGATTATTTCACCAAGTGGGTCGAGGCTAAACCATTGGTCGTGATCACTACCAAGAAGCTTAAGGACTTCGTCTTAAAAAATATAGTGTACCGCTATGGAATTCCTCATACACTAATCTCTGATAATGGGAAACAGTTTGACAACGAGGAATTCAAGCAGTTTTGCAACAAGTTGGAGATCTATAAGAAGTTCGCCTCAGTCGCAAGACTGCAAGCCAATGGCCAGGTTGAAGCTGTCAACAAAACCATCAAGCATACTTTGAAAGCTAAGCTTGGCGCTGCCAAGGCTATTTAGGTCAACGACCTCCCAGAAGTCCTATGGGCATACAGGACAACTACAAGAACCTCTACTTCGGAGACACCTTTCTCGCTAGCATATGGCTACGAGGCTATGATCCCAGTGGAAGTAGGGACTGGTTTATTTCGGAGAGACCTGTTCAATGAAATAGACAATAAAGCACTTCTGCATGCAAGTATAGACTTAGTTGAAGAACACTGCGACAAAGCTCAGTTAAGGATAGCAGCCTACCAATAGCGCACGAAAAGATTCTTAGACTCTAAAGTCAGGAGAAGAGACTTTCATGTCGACGACCTGGTTCTGAAAGAAGTTGTTCTCGATACAAGGGAACCAAGCATGGGAGTATTGGGACCAAACTGGGAAGGCCCATCCTACATCGCCAAGGTAATACGACCAAGGACGTATCACCTCAAAAGGCTTAACGGTTCCGAAGTACCGTAAGCTTAGAATGCTGACCATCTTCACCTCGACATTATTGGAGTAATTAAATATGCCTCCCTCGATCGAAGATCGCTTCGAGAGGTAGTAAGAATCTTTATCCTTGCTCTCTTCAAATAATACGAGCAAGCGAGCTCCAACGCAATCAACTGGCCGAGGCCGTTCTTGCCACACGCGATATACATAGCCACGATTATCATATATACGTTCAACATTAGCTGTAGAGGTGCGACCTCGAAGTAATCGAGAATCAACCTGATAAAGGGGTGGAAGGGAATTAGCGCCCCACATTTGAATATCGACTCGGAGATCGTGGCCATTCCCTCTAGGGATTCTTTGCTGTGTACGATCTGTACCAGAAGACATCTACACTAAGTGTGTATTGGTCTACTACCCCCTGTATCTCCTTCGGGGTGGCCACTGACAAAATCTCTTGCGAAGGACCCATTGAGGCATCCTACGCCTGTGAGCTCGTACCCTCATTTGTTATGGTCGCTGAAGAATCCATCTCTTCTACAGTCTGAAAAAGGAGGACATGCAGAGGTTACTCAATCTCCATACAAAATTTCGTACGACGATGTGGAAGAACGAAAACCCTAATGTATCTTACAAAAATCCTAACAAAACCTTGAGGACCACCCCCAATGATTCGTACCCTAAAAACCTATTCCTTACAAAAGACTGACCATAAACACCCACCATTATCGCTTGGATAAGCCACCTACGTGGCAGAAAAAGAAAAGTAATGGAAGGATCTTCCTTACCTCTTAGCTGTAGGGGTTGAACTTCTTGCTGTGAATGTAAAGTGTGCACCAACTTGAAGGATGGAAAATCTGGTCTCGTGAGAGCTTTTTGCTTTTTCTAAAAGTGCGAGTGTTGTGACATTGCTTAAGGTAAGCCTGGGGTTTTATAGTGGAGGAAATGACGATTGGTTTTCTCGAAGTCAAGTGATGTTTGGGTAGAATACACCTCTCGCTGTTGATCACGACCACGTGTCATCAATCGGCGAGAAGGAGTAACCGCCACGCTTCAAGAAATTCAATCGTCGCTTCCCTCCATTGAAATAATTAAGCAACGGCTCGATTCTCTCCTCCACAATTAAATGCGCTCTCATCTGCAATTAATGCCCTAATAAAGAATGTCGTTTCAGCATGGCTTGCATTTAATGCACATGGCAAGCACTTATTACGCACAGGACACGTCTGTCAAAATAAAGGTTACTTTATTAATGGATTGGCTATCAAGTGCAACGGATAACATCTAAAGAGGTCGTTGGGATAGAACACTCTTCATCGCATGTCGGTTACGGAACGATGTGATTACTTGTCTTCGGTAGAAATATGCTAAGTATAATCAGGTCGTGCACCTTGGTTGAGATAAGAGGCACATTGATACGACACTAAGTAGGGTCAAATCCAGGTCGTTGACTTTGCAGAAGAAGATCATCTCAGGTCGCTCATAGAAAAGTGTGCTGCGACCTCCTTGTAGCTAGGTCGGCTCGATCAAGCGTCATTTAGGACATGTCAAATCGTGGTATAATTATGAAGTTCTCAAGGTTCGATCCTTAAACCTTAAAAACTGGGGGACTTCTGTTATGCCTGAAAAGGTAGGGCTGACGTAGAGCCTCGTCAGCAAGGGACAGTCAGAGCTTAGGAAGGTTTCATGCTATCCAGGTGCAGCCACGTCGCACAATAGCGCAAGTGGCATGGCTCCTATCAGCACAGCAGGTGAGTGCTAGGCTAGAAAGTGGCTGGAGATCACCCACGTGTCCAAACCCTATACAAGTCGAGGAAATCCCTCGGGCAGGTGACCAATGGGACGCAAAGAAGGATTTACACGGCACCTATCCACTTGTAGATTTTGTAATCATTACTTTGAACTCTCCCACTATAAATAGAGGTCTTCCCTCTCATTTGCAGGATTAGCTAATTTTACTCTGAAATAGCTTACTCTCTCTCTCTCTCTCTCTCTCTCTCTCTCTCTCTCTCTCTCTTGTATTCTCTTTAAACTGTAACTCAGCTCACTGAATGCGACCTGACCTTACTCTCTTATTAATTTAGTAGTAGTGGACGTAGGATTTGCTTTTGAGCATCCGAACCACTTTAAATATTGCTTTTCACCCATTATTTAATTTAATATCTCCATATCACGTGTGACTTTTAAGTCTGCTTAGCATTTTATACGTGCGGGTAGTTGGTGTCAAATCAAGCATCAACAATGTTTTTAGGTGGAAAACTTATAGTCCAATTAATATGTATACTAAGTAATTGTTCCTTGCCTACTTTTTTTTTTTTTCTTTTTTGCTATGGATTTTTAATAGTCTAAATCGATTATCAATGTGAAGGTCTCCAGTTGACGGAGTCAACCATCGCCAACTAACAAATGTCAAGGTAATTCGACAGTAGGTGGTAACAGCATCAATCCTGTGACATCTCATCTTTCAAGTGCTGGGCCTAAAATTTCAATTATCTGTTCTGTCAACCTCAGTGATACAAGTTTTCTGTCTAAATATTAGTTCCTACAGCTATTATATTTCTGATAGTATAAGCTGCATTGCAGCATTGATTCATCCTATTTCAATGTATCTATAATATTAGCCTCTGATTAGTATCATGTTTGGGCGGAAAAGGAATTTTGTTTTCTCAAGTAATGCTTCATTGAATCACCTGACAGAAAAATCCCAATTCCAACTAGGCTTGCAAAGGAGCAGAACCGCTCGCAAGCTGTTTGGGCTCAACTCGAGTCGAGCTCAGGCTTGAGTAGCTTGCATGTCGAGTCAAGCCGAGTTCGAGTCTAATAATACTCGACTCAAGCTTGACATATTATATAATATTCTAATTTTATATATATATATATAATTATCGAGTTTGAGCTGATCAAATATCTATCGAGCTCGAGCTTCTGCTATTCCAACCGAGCCGAGTTCGAACTTCTCAATACTTGGCTCGGCTCAGTTTGATTGCAGCCCGAGTTCCAACTTAAACTAGAGCCTCAACTCACTTCCTTGATGGACAGACTTGGTGTAATTGTTCTATAAGTACTGGAAGCTCCGATCCTGGAGAGAGTAGAAAATTAAAGAGCATTTGGAACGCTTCCTCTATATCTTCTTGTTAATTTAAAGACTAATTGAGATGATTAGAGTAACGCCTAGGATTTGGGTAGGTGAGTAAATTGTTTTAGTATAATCTTATAAGATTGGATATTATACTTTTTATGTAGGACAGCCTACATATTAGGGAATTATTGTAATTTCAAGGATTTCGCTCTTATTTTCTTTCCTCTTACGAGGAGATTTAATTTCCTCATATATAGTTATTTTATTCACTATTTTTTTTTCTTTTTTATTTAACTCTATAAATTAAAGTCAATATCATTATTGTAAGGAAACTTGAATTATGAATTGATAATAAACTTCCTTCCCCGATTTCTATCTTCTCCCCTTTCTTCTAAAATTCTTCTTTTCTATTTTCCAAGTTTTCTCCCCTTTCTCCCAAGCTCTACCTATCCTCATCCTCTCACTTTTTTTTTTTTTTTTCCTTTTTGATTATTGTGCACACTAACTTAGTATGTTAGGTGTTGTAAGAATAAGATTAATTATGAGCGAATATATTACATGAAATTAATTTCTAATTTTCAAAATATTCCGATTTGAGTGTCTTACAGTAGGTAATACTACACTTACAACTCAATCTTACAAATTTTCTCTCACAACCTCGATATGAAAGCTTACAATTATTCGGTTCGCAAATAGATCATGTCTGCTAGCTATGGTTTCCGCATGCCCAATTACGAACTGATCAATTGCAAACGTGTCGGGATTGTGAGAGAAAATTTGTAAGATTGAATTGTAAATCAATTTTTATTGGTTTTACAATATGTCTATGCTCTTTACTTGCTTAGGCGTTATACATGTTTGTGTTTATGAGTGTTTTTGGAACCTAATTGCGTGGTCATTCCCTTAGGATTAGTATTCGTTTTGTATATGAGTTGTGGTAAGAAATATCGTACGATTACTTGTAGGAATAATGTTTCTTCTACACATTCTTATGTTTGGATGTAAGAATACAAGTGCGAGGACACACTAATAATTACAGGTTGGGTTTGACTCTTACTTCAGGGTATCAGCGTATTTTTAATATTATAAAATAAATCCGTTTGTCTTCATCTCATCTTGATGACTTGAAATCTTTAACTACTGAGATAGACTTGAAATTCATCGCCAACCTTTTTATCTTCTAAAGCAAACACTTGTAACAACAAACAATTACGGTATAATAAAAGTTTTACAAACAAACATATTTTACAACAGACTAGTTTAATAACCATGTAACAGGTTATTTGGATATGTAAGGACTCTTAAGACAAATTTTTATGACAATTGGTGATGTTTTACCTTGCCTCCAAAGTAGAAAGAGTGAGTTCATTTGTGGTACATGAGTGAGTGTTGCCTGATGAAGACTCAGGTTCAAACAGATTTCTTTCTGAAAAAAACCCAGGTTGCTTTGGGTCAGGCAATGAACACTCACTTCCCAACATTAGAACCACAGATGACATGCTTGGCCTGTCTTCTGGTCGTTGTTGCACGCATAACAAACCCACATGAATGTATCTCAACACCTCAGGTGGCGGGCGAGACTCACCTAATGTGTCCACAGCTAGTTCCAGTCGCCTTTCCTCTTTCCAAAGTATCCATGCCTGGAAAAAATTAAAGTAAAATGAAATATTTGTTTCAGAATAATTAAATAAATTGTTGAGTTCTACTCTTACATGTCCAAGAAGATTATGGTAGTGATCTGGATGGGAAAATCCTCTGTTTTTCTTCCCACTAACAATCTCTAGGACTAAAACTCCAAAGCTAAATACGTCAGATTTCATCGAGAAAACCCCGTCAATTGCATACTCTGGAGACATGTAGCCACTGTAAAATGACATTGGCACAGGTCACAAGCTGAAGAGAGTAAAGAAGAAAACAATAGTAGTTGTACTTACTATGTTCCAACTACTTTATTTGTATTGGCCTCAATTTCGTCTCCCCCAAATATTCTGGCCATGCCAAAGTCAGAAATTTTGGGGTTCATGTCATTATCTAATAACACATTGCTGGCTTTGAGGTCCCTATGTATAATCCTCATTCTAGAGTCTTGATGAAGATAGAGCATTCCTCTAGCAATTCCACCGATAATGTGGATGCGCTTCAACCAATCGAGTAATTTGCTTCTTGTTTGATCTGGTCAAACTCTCATCATGTCAGTAAAATGATATATCTTTGATTGATCACAAATCAAAATAAAGATGAGTTTTTAGATTTCAAACCAAAGATAAAGAAGTCCAAGCTTTTGTTAGGCATGTATTCATAGATTAACATGTTTTCGTCTTCCTGGATGCAACAACCGAGAAGCTTTACAAGATTTCTGTGTTGAAGTTTTGCAATCAATGTAACTTCGTTTTTGAACTCTTCGATTCCTTGTCCCGAACTTTTTGACAGCCTTTTAACTGCAATCTCTTGCCCCTCCTGTAATGTACCCTGGAATCATCACTCAAAATTAGTTGATTTATAAGCCGAATACAAATCTTGTATCCTGGAAGAATGTTGTAAAGTTACCTTGTATACTGGTCCAAAACCACCTTGTCCCAGCTTGTTATTGCTTGAGAAGTTGTCTGTCGCTTTTGCTATACTGGCAATATCAAATACCCATAACTCCATATCTTCTTTCCCATCTCCAGTTTTATATTTTTTGTAGTTGCTGTTCAACATTCCTAAAATTATATGAAAGTTTTCTTTTTAGCAGAGGAAAATTAAGGGATTAAGTTAACAAATTCCTGATGATGTCTGTTATTGTTTAATTAGACAGGTAATGAGTTTACCTTGCTTTTTGAGTTTCTTCTTCCTGATAAACAATATCAATCCTACCATAAGGATTGCCATCAATCCTACAGAGCCAACTATGATTCCCACCTCTCTGCTTTTATCCGTTCGATCTGAAAATCAAAAGCAAAGTTAGCAGACGTATCTATGCGTTGGAGCAGTATCCCTATTTTCTTTCATTATCTACTGCTTTTATGTGCCTTCATCAAATGTTTTATATGATAAATATAGTTTTCTTTCAAAATGAAAAGTAAACACTTCTAAAATTACCTTGTTCTGAATTGACCATCCTTATGAAGAGATCTTGCTGAACATCAGTGCGTAATCTCATATCCACCAGGTCACCAAACCAAAGCAAGCAGCCACTTTTTTTGCTGATATCAGAATTAGCAGAGGCAGTGCAAGAACAGTTTCTCAAACACATTTCCCTACATTCCTCAACGCTCATGCTTGTATTGAACCAGGAATTAGAAGTGTCTGGCAACTTGAATCCAGCATAAATCTTAAATTCATTCCCATTTTTACAATCTAATGGACTCCCTCTTCTGACACACCCTTCAGTCCAATTTGACAAGCTCCAACCTTCTGGTGATTTTGGTACAAATCCTTCCAGGCAAGAACATACACGGCTGCTGTTTGTTTCACATCGAGCATTTGCACCACACAAAGAATAATTGTCACACTGATCAACTGGGGCAGAATAGGCATGCAACCAAGTTTTTCTTTGAGAGCTTAGTATTAAGCGCTCAATACTACCTGTTTGATTTACCCATAACCTTGAAACTAAGGAATTCGTGGGGTCACACTTATAATAGACCTCATTCTCATTCAGTACAAATTTAAAATCACATACAGGATCGTTTGGTTTCAGCGCAGGAGTCCCGGTAAAACCAACGCCATTCCACGAGCCAGCTCTATACTGGATGGCTGCTCCTTCCCTGAGAACTAGTTGTGGAAATCCATTTGAATCAATCCACACAGAAAATTGGCCTGGAGCAGGATCTTCTGTGCTTTTCCAGGACGAAAGGAACCTATCCATTCTAGTTTTGAAGTTCCTTCCGAGCTTCATCCCTGGTAGTAAGGTGTCACAAGGATGGTCAAAACTCTGCCACAAAAAGTTCTCTGGATGGCTATCGTTTCTATCTTTCACAACAAGATTTCCTGAATCTAAGAGCTGTAAAACAGGATATCTCATTGATCCAGATATATTTGATGACCAAATCACTCTATCTTTTCCATCTAGTAGTACAAGATTCCCTTGATCAGTGACATTTAGAATTCCTGACAGATCAGAGAGTGAAGTTACTCTGTTGGCCACCCATGCAACTGTCTGAGTATCTTTCTTGTACCATATTCCCAAGTAACGCTTTGATGAGTTACCTGGGTTGAAAAATCCCAGTTCAAAGATTCCTCTGGCGGAAACTAGAGTCTGACCATCTTTGATGGACTGATTTGGTGCTATTGTATCTAGTGCATTAGAAGCTCCAAAAACAAAGAACAAAAAATAATACACAAGAAACATTTTTGAAACTTTGGACAGATTGGCTGTTGCTTTTTGTCCTCAATGTGCTACCCTTTTATGTAGTTAAAGATAATAGCAGTCCATTTCTCCTTTGAAAGCAAAACATCTCTGATTGCCCAACTTGTTAGTTGTTAGGTGGAAAAGTTATAGTTCAATTTATATGTGTACTACGTGGTTCATTTCTTGCCTATTTTTGTTTGCCCATTGATTTGAATAGTCTGAATCGATTGTCGGTGTCAAAATTCCACAGTTCATCAGTTGACAGAGTCAACCATCGCCAACTAACACAAGTCAGGATCAGTTGACACTTGCTGGCAGGGGCGGATTTAGCCCCTCAGATCAAAAAATAATAAAAATTTATTAATGTACAGCTACAAAAAAATTGTTAATTAGTATATCAATAACACTACGGACACCGAAAAAATTACACCGAAATTTTGTATCGGCCTACATGTAATATGCGTTTGAATTTTTTTACAATTTTTTTCTAGTGAACGGCCGTCCATCACATTTGGACGGCCGTTCACTCACATGGACGCCCGTCCATATTATATGGACGGGCGTCCATACACAATGGAAGGGCGTCCCCATTTAAAGGACGCCCGTCCCTAATTAAAATATAATTAAAAAATTTGTAAAACATTAGGGACGGCTGTTCATCCATTATGGACAGGCGTCCATTAATTTTGGACGGACGTCCACAAATAATGGACGCCCGTCCTTCACCCAAATATAAAAAAAAAAAAAAAAAAATTGGGGACGTCGTCCCTTACTTTGCTTTTACAAATAAAAAAGAACAGCCATAGCATGTTTCACTTGCCCCCCCCCCCCCCCCCCCCCCAACTATCTTCTCAACAGCCCTTCCACCTTCGCCGGAACCACCTCACTCGTTGTTTCTGGGCTCTGCTTTCTTCTTTCTTATTCTCCTGAAACGCGCTACTGTTTCATCTGCAGAGCCCAGAATGCGCAGCTCCACGCTGCTGTTTCAGTGGCTGCAGTGGCTGCTGCCATACAGCCGTTACAGCAGCCACTGCTGCGTCTTCATCTTCAAGAAAGAACGAGCAGCAGCCATTTCCAGGTGGGGTGTCCCTCCAGTTCCAAGGAGAACTCCGGTGGCACAACGCGTCAGCTATGGTAATAGCAAGAGGACGTCCCTCATGATCTACCGCCTTTCAAGATTGAGTGTTGGCCTGCCACTAGCTGCACACCAAAAAACTTTAACAGAGGGAAAGCATATCTCATTTAATTTAGATAAAACAAAAAGCACACAGGATATATGAGTGATATACAATGAAACTCATAGCAATCCAAGAACCTTGTGAACAACTGCGAGACAAAGGGAGACTAGCTACCATATACTTTGAAGATCTTCGAGGAGATGATTTATTTTTTTCAACCTACTAGACTCTTGCCTGCTCTTAGAGTGAATAGAAAGATCATTTCCAGAAAAGTCTTATATATTGATGACGAAAAGAGGACGAAGAAGAAAGGCTTAATGTTTTTTTCTTTTTTAAAAGTATGACGGGCGTCCATTAGGAATGGACGCCCATCCAAACGTAAGGGACTGGCGTCCATTCCTAATGGACGCCCATCCAAACGTAAGGGACGGCCGTCCAAAATTTATGGACGGCTGTCCCATTTTTTTTTTTTTTTTTTTTATATTTAGGTGAAGGACGGAGTCCATTATTTGTGGACGGCCGTCCATAATGGATGGACGGCATTATGGACGGCCGTCCCTAATGTTTACAAATTTTTTATTGTATTTTAATTGGACGGGCGTCCTTTAATGGGGACTCTCGTCCCTTGTGTATGGACGCCCGTCCATATATATGGACGGGCCCATGTGAGTGAACGCCGTCCAAATGTGATGGACGGCCGTTCACTAAAAAAATGTGTAAAAAAATTCAGTCGCGCGTTACACGTGGGCCGGTACAAAATTTCAGTGCAATTTTTTCAGTGTCCGTAGTATTATTGTTAATATATATACCCAGCCTTACTGTCAGATTTTGAAAAAAAAAAAAAAAAATTGCTATACATATATCTAAGTCTACGAAAAACTTGTTAACATATATATTCCAAACTCAAATCATATTAAAAGTTTAAAACTCTCTCCACTCTTTTTTCACAGCTCTACTTGTTTTTTATGTTTTTATTCCCAAAAATGGTTGTGTTTGTTTTATTATTTTGAGTAGTATTTTTAAAATATTATTGGTAAGTAAGTTGGGTGATTATTACGAGATGAATTTAAAAATTAACCAAAAATAATCTCCTAGGTTTGCTAATTTAACTTAATACCCCAATATATAAAATTTTGTAAAATGAAAAACACCCCCACCACATACAGTTGAGATTCCGGCCGCCACATGCCAAAATCTGCCGAAATTGGCATACGGTGCACAACCGCTGGATCTAGCCAGTCGTGCGTCGAGATGGCCTTTTTAACTAGATCCACCTTAGATCTGGTTGAAAATGTCATCTATGGCCAGATTTAACCGTTGACGACCAGATCGGCCGTGTTTAGTCGTCAACGAAGGCCAGATATGACCGTCATTGAAGACTAGCTACGGCCAAAGATCTGCGTCAAGGGCTAGATCCATCGGTAATGGTAGATCGGCCACATACCGCCAGATCCAACCGTAGTGTGCCATATACCGGATTCCGACCACCTTCCGATGGTGGTGGCCGGAATCTGGCAAATGTGGTTGGGTGAGGGTTTTTTTGTCAATTTTTAAACTTTTTTTCAGGGTGTTTTTAGTTAATATAACTTAAGGGATTTAAAAAGTTAAATAAAATATAATAGTATTTTCAGAATAGGGAAACAAACGGTGTATTTTGAAAATAGTATTAGTAGGATAGTGAAAAATAATTAAACAAATGGATCTTTCTCTCACTCTCTCTTTCTCATGTTATTCGCTCTTAAAACTTTTAAAAACTGAAATTATTAAATTTTCACTATTCAAGGTATCATAATTAGCTCCGTTTTCTATTTTATCAATTTTAAGTATGTGTATTGTTCATTTCAATTTAGTTTATTTTATGATTGAATCTTTTTTTTTTTTTTTTGATGTTTTTTATTCTAATTTGAGGGGGGAAAAAAGTAATCTTATAGGTTTATTTTGTATTTTGTGTCTAAGAATGAATCTGCTTTCTCAAATTAAAACCTGATTATATTTTAAAGGACATTATTCTTCACCTTTTACCAACCACTTTCCTATATTTCAAACGTCACTATTTAGCTGCTCAAAATTATTAAAGAAATTTAAGTTATTATCTATATTTATACCAAGAAAATTCTTTTTTTTCATTAATTAATATTAAAAGTCAATGCAACGTTGACTTAATTTAAGTTTTGGTTGACTTTAGCTTAATTAGGCTAGGTCTGATCAAAATTATGAAAATTTATGTTATAATCTTTGAAAGCCAAAAATAAAAATCTTAAAAGAAGGTTTTGCTCAAGGTTTACTCAACACATTTACTCAAAATTTTGTTTCTCATAGATTTATTTAAGTAGGAAAATATTATGTTATTGCATATTCTTTTCTCTCAAGGTTTTAATATTGTATTATTATTTTATTATTAAGATTTTATATTTTTTAAAGTTTTCACTAGCTGTTTGGCAAATAATGACGGAGCCGCAGAGGCATCCCTCGACAAAAATTCTGGATCCGTCATTGCTAGCTGGTAACAAAAAGAATCCTATGACATCTCATCTTTTATGTGGGTGGCCCAAAATTTCAATTGTTTGGTAACTGTCAGCCTCAGTGGTACAAGTTTTCTATCTAAACTGTTAGCTCCTGCAGCTACTATATAGTATATGCTGCATTTGATTCATACTATTACAATGTTGATGTAATATTACCCTCCAATTAATCTCATGTTTGAGGGGGGAAGGAATTTTGTGTTTTCAACTAGTGGATTAAGGTGATTGTAAATTGATGAACATCTTGGAACTACTACATACATAAAAACTTGTAACTATCAACTCCATCATATTAGAGTTGTCAACTATTTTAATAATAATGGGTCACGCAGATGTATTTGGGTTACTGATCTTTGTGAAGGCTGCTTACTGTTTTCGTCATGCGCTTGTGCCCCACAGTTGGGCAACTGATGCATTTTAACCTCATAAACCGCACACGGTTTAACTGTTGGAAAAGAAAAAAAAAAAAGATGTGAATTCAGAATCATCTGTTTCATCTCTAGTCCTGTGGCGCATTTAATAACCGAAAAGTTCAACTCATGCATGGCCATCGGTGCAGTTAGATGTTCCGTTCTGCAAGGACTGGGATTTAAATGCAGCGTGAGAAAACAACTTGGAAGCTTGATGCGAAAGATAGAGAGTAATGGGAAACTAAAAACAGTAAACACATACAAACCACTAATAGTAAAGAGAAAAAAGAAATACGCATGATTTATCTTGATTCATTATTAGGAACCAAGAAGAACGCTATACATATAGTATTTCACAACACACTTATCACCTGTACAGAAAATAAGTTAGATTACAGCATTGATAAATTTTCTTACTTTTGCAGAGAGGAAAGATAGATGTAAAGTTTAATGTGGAGAGCTTTTATATTTTGTGTACTTTTTTGGCTTTCTCCTGCAAGGCTGCTAGTATGGAAAAGCAATTTGAGACTCAAGGTCTCCTTTGGCATGCTTATGAGTAAATTATGTAGCTCTCACTACAACTAACATCCGTACCTCTTCTCCAAAGAGCAATTAATAATCCTTAGCCTACAGTTCATAATTGAAGGGAACAGAGATAACACATCTATCATACAGTACACTATTTGTGGCTTACTATTACAAAGAGAGTGGCCTATCTAATTGAGAATCTACTTGCTTGCATGTTATCCACATTGTTTTACTTGGATTTTACTGGAAAGTCCATTAGCTTTATCTGGGAAGTAGTGCTTTTTTTAACGAGGCTCTAACAGAGAGAATGTGATTTCATTTGTTGAAGATGGTATCTCCTTGCTAATGCTTGATGAGGACTCCGATAAAGGTGGTTTACTCTCAGTGAAAAAACCAGGCTGCTTTGGTTGAGGCAATGACCTTTCACCACTCAACATTAGAACCACAGTCGACATGCTTGGCCTGTCTTCTGGTGCTTGTTGCACACATAGCAGACCCACATGGATGCATCTTAGTAATTCAGATAAAGCACAAGAGTTGTCTAATGATTTATTGATTAGTTCCACCGGTCTCCCTTCTATCCACAGTCTCCATGCCTGGAACGGATAAAACTGATTATTACACTATTTGCACACTTTGAGGAGCTTCTGTTAGCTATAAGAATTAGACATCAAATTATATTACAGAATCATCCTCTATACATATATGACACTGTGAACATTATATTTGAAGCTTACATGTCCAAGAAGGTTATGACGGTGATCACCATGGTGAAATCCTCTGTTTCTCTTCCCACTCACTATCTCTGTTACTAAAACACCGAAGCTGTAGACATCAGATTTCACTGAGAATAGCCCTTCTCCTGCATACTCAGGAGACATGTAACCACTGAAACATCGTATTTTAAAGAGTCAAAGACGGGAGATTGCAGCTGATATAAAATGAATAACAAACCAATTGCAAGCATACTTACTATGTCCCAACTACTCTATTTGTGTTTGCCTCAGTTTGATCTCCCCCAACTGTCCTGGCCAGGCCAAAGTCTGAAATTTTTGGGTTCATTTCATTATCTAATAAAACATTACTCGCCTTCAGATCTCTATGTATAATCCTCAGTCTAGAGTCTTGATGAAGATAAAGAAGCCCTCTAGCAATCCCTCCAATAATGCTGACTCGCTTGCTCCAATCCAGTAATTTGCTTTTAGTTTCATCTGAACAGTTTCTCATCCAAATTATTCCTCAGTCTAAACTTAACATTCATAAAAAGAGGATATGGAATACACTGATATGACTACCACCTACAAATAAAAGAGTATCAGTTTGGATAACATCTCACCAAAAATAAAGTAGTCCAAGCTTTTGTTCGGCATGTATTCATAAATTAACATTCTTTCATCTCGTTGAGTGCAGCAACCAAGAAGTTTTACTAGATTTCGATGCTGAAGTTTAGCAATTAGTATTACTTCATTTTTGAACTCTTCCTTCCCTTGTCCAGAACATTTAGAAAGCTTTTTAACTGCAATTTCTTGCCCCTCTATTAATGTACCCTGGAAGTCATCATCCACAGAAGTTAAAATCCCATTTTAAATGAAAGTACAATATCTTAAGTTCATATACATTGTCATGTCACCTTGTAAACAGGTCCGAATCCCCCTTCTCCTAGCTTGTTCTTGTCTGAAAAGTTGCTAGTGGCATTAGCTATTGTTGTCCAATCAAACATTTGTAGATCCGTTTCTTCATTCCCGTTGCCTGTATCAAATAATTCATAGATGTTTTTAGTGTTACCTGAAATAGAGCCTAAATGGAATTGGATGAAATCAACAGGATGTTTGATGAACTAATTTACCTTGATTACTGAGTTTCCTTTTCCGCCTGTATAAGAAACATCCTAGCATAAGCAGTCCCGTTGCTAATAGTATAGACAAAACTATTATCGCCACCAGTATTTTCTTTCTTGATTGTCTTCTTCTCTCAATATTAGCTGAAGGATTGAAAATTGAGATGTCAAACATACTCTTGCAATTGAACACAGTAACTTCAAAATAAGTCAGTAAGTTTGGACCTAATAGATAACCAATCTAAACTGCTATCTGTAATCGAATACCATTACTCGAAAGAAGAAAAGGGAAAAGAAAATTACCTATTTCTGAACTAGCCAGCCGTATGTAGAGATCTTGCCCAATCTCAGTAAGTTCTCTTATATCAATTAGTTCATCGAACCAGAGCAAACAGCCACTTCCACGTTCTCTGATATCTGCAGTTGCATATGCCGTACAAGAGCAATTTTTTAAGCACAATTTTTCGCATTCTGAAAGGCTGATGTTCTTGTCAACCCATGCGTGGCGAGTGTCTGGCAATTTCACTGCTTTGTGCTTCAAAAAGCCATCCCCTTTCTCGCATCCCAATTTAGTCCTTCGAACACACCCATCAGACCAATCTGAAAAGTTCCATTCATCTGGAAACTTGGGTATGAATCCCTCCAAGCATTCACATACAGGAGAGTTCATTTTAAAGCCACAACTAGCATATGCACCACAAAAGGCATATTTTTCACATTGATCAAGTGTCACGCCGCTGAACCGCGACAACGACTCCCAACGATTGGTTCTTTCCACCCAAGTGAGACGATGAACAACACCTGCGGGGTCCAACACCATCCTTGAAAGGACTGAACTGTTTTCGATGTTGAACCTGTAAAATGCCTCATTCGCATTCCACACAAACTCAAATGTATAAACTGGATTTGGTTTCAGTTGAGGAACTCCCGTCCAACGGAGACCATTCCAAGAACCTCCTCTTAATTGAATAACAGACCCCTTATAAAACTAGCTGAGGAACCCCACGAGGATCTATCATATACTTGAATTCGCCTTCAGCGGGATCGTCCAAGCTCTTCCAGGAAGAGAGAAACCTGTTTAGCCCAGTAACCAAGTTTGCTCCAAGTTTCATTCCTGGTAATAAGTTATCACACAGATGATCAAAACTCTGCCACAGAAACCTATCTGGGTTATTATCATCATTTCCATCTTTCACAACGAGATTTCCTGTTTCTAAAAGCACAGCAATTGGATTCTTCGCAGTTCTGGATACATTAGTTGACCAAACAGTGTAGTTTGAGCTATTGAGAAGGACAAGAGTTCCTTGTTGAGTGATACTTAGAACTCCTGAGTGATCAGAAATTGGAGCATCTCTGTTAGCGACCCATGTGACTGTCCTAGTTGACACTTTCTTGTACCAAATTCCGACGTACCGGCTCTTCGATTTCCCAGGACTGAAGAACCCCAGTTCAAAACCCTCACCTGCTGAAACTATTGTTTCACCATCTCTAATAGATTGGCCAAGCGTAATGGAGTCTGTTGTAATTGCAACTGTTACAGTAGAAACTATCAAAGAACAGATAATTAGCAACATGAAACCTTCCATGGACTTCCTCGTCTCAAGCTTTCACTCAATTTTTATCTCTTGTTTTATATGGCCACCATAGTTGGCCCAGCAAGCAAGGTGTATACACGATAAAATTTGGTAGTTGGTACTGTATTTATAATTATTTTCTTAGGTACTTTTTCCAGAGAGTAGGAAATGTGAAGTGAATATGTCGCAGAAAAATTTACTTGAGTTGACTTGACCTGTCAATTTGTCACCTTAATTATGGTTATCCCTTAATTAGCGTCACCCTTCACGGCACTGGCATTAAGTCATTAACTACTATGTTTAGAACAAATGAATAATTAATTTTCCTCATATCATTTGATTAAGCTAGTAATTTACCTCTATTTCAAGGCATCTCTTCCTTCCATTTTAAATCTTTTTTATCAGAAATAAACTGTAACAACTATTGAGATTGTTTTCAGGGCATTACTCCCTACTGACAGGGATCACTTTACCAGGCCAATAGAAAGCCATTGAGTCAGCAATATATATATAATAGAAAGTAGAAAATTACTTTACTGTCTGTATAATATTATCGAAAATTTAGTAAGATTGTTTGTAAAATATCTTCATAAATCCAAATATATAACAATTCCCTGACAATGATCCTTAAGCTTATATAGAGTGCATACTTGAAGGAAGAGACAACACATGTAACATAACACAAAGTATCAGGACAATACATGTATAATGACAGCATATGTAAAATTATGTATGATGAATGTGTTTGCTTGTAGATTTGACCAGAAACTCCAGAGCTTTCTTCATGAAATGGTGTTTTTTTTTTTTTTCAACGAGGCTCAATCAATGAGATTGTGATTTCATTTGTTGAACATGATTTATCTTTACTTGACGAAGACTCTGATCCAGGTACATTCCTTTCTGTGAAAAAACCAGGCTGCTTTGGTTGAGGCAATGATCTTTCGCCATTCAACATTAGAACCACAGTTGACATATTTGGCCTGTCTTCTGGTGCTTGCTGCACACATAACAGACCGACATGAATGCATCGTAGTAAGTCAGATAAAGCACAAGAGTCATCTAAAGATTTCTCTATTAGCTCCACTGGTCTTCCTTCTATCCACAGTCTCCATGCCTGAAACAGAAGACAATGATAGTTACATTCCATTTCCATACTTTTAGGAGCTCCCATTAACTATAAGAATCAGATTTCATATTCTGAAGCTTACATGTCCGACAAGGTTATGCTGGTGATCATCATGGTGAAATCCTCTGTTTCTCTTCCCACTCACTATCTCTAGTACTAAAACACCAAAGCTGAAGACGTCAGATTTCACTGAGAAGAGCCCATCTACTGCATACTCCGGAGACATATAACCACTGAAACATCGCATTGTAAAGAGTAAGAGAAAGGAGGCTATAGATTATGGAAGATGAATTATAAAACAAATGCAAGCTTACTTACTATGTTCCAACTACTCTGTTTGTGTTTGCCTCAGTTTGATCTCCCCCAAATGTCCTGGCCAGGCCAAAGTCTGAAATTTTTGGGTTCATTTCATTATCTAATAAAACATTACTAGCTTTGAGATCTCTATGTATAATCCTCAGTCTAGAGTCTTGATGAAGATAAAGAAGCCCTCTGGCAATTCCTCCAATAATGCTGACTCGCTTGCTCCAATTGAGTAACTTGCTTCTTCTTTCATCTGAACAGTTTCTCATCTAAGTTAGTTATCACCCTATACTTCAATTCCAGAAAACAGAATACCGAATTATACTGTTTTGAATAAAAAAAATATATATATACAGTATATATATAAAAGAGTATCAATTTGAAGAAGAAGATCAAACCAAAGATAAAGTAGTCCAAGCTTTTGTTGGACATGTATTCGTAAATTAACAATCTTTCATCTTTTTCAATGCAACAACCAAGAAGTTTCACAAGATTTCGGTGCTGAAGATTAGCAATCAGAATAACTTCATTTTTGAACTCTTCCTTTCCTTGTCCAGAACTTTTGGAAAGCTTTTTAACTGCAATTTCTTGCCCCTCTAATAATATACCCTGGAAAACATCATTCACAAAAGTAAACATCCTATTTTATATGAAGATAGAACACCTTATTTGCATATCAGTAAAGTCACCTTGTAAACAGGTCCAAAACCACCTTCCCCCAACTTGTTATTGTTTGAGAAGTTGCAAGTGGCATTAGCTATGGTTGCCCAATCAAATATTGGTAAATCCATTTCTTCATTCCCCTTACCTTAAATCAATTTGTTCACAGCTGTTATTGTTTTTCACTGAAATAGTATAGCCTAAATTGTATTAGTTGATGAACTAAATTACCTTGATTCTTGAGTTTCTTTTTTCTCAAATATAAGATCCATCCTAAGATAAGCACTCCCATGGCCATGGCTAAAAGTATAGATGTGACTATGATGATCACCAGCTTTTTCTTTCTTGATTGTCTTCTCCTTTCAATACTAGCTGAAAGATTGAAAATAAAATTCTCAAACATATTCCTGAAAATGAAAAATAACTTAAGTTTGGACCTAATATTGCAATTTGCAAGTAATTAGATCTACCATATATTTCAAAACCCTTTAAGAACTGAAAAAAATACATAGGGTGAAAAGATGAGGCAAAAAGGGAAAGAGATGGTACCTAGTTCTGAAGCAGCCATTCGCACATAGAGGTCTTGTTGATTCTCAGTAAGTGCTCTTATATCAACCAAGTCATCAAACCAGAGCAAACAACCACTTCCTCTGATATCTGAATTTGCATAGGCTGTACAAGAGCAATCCTTAGAACACAATTTCTCACATTCCAAAAGGCTGATGTTCTTGTTAATTCTAGACGAACGTGTGTCGGGTAATTTCGCTCCTTTGTGCTTCAGAAAGCCATCCCCATTCTTACAGTCCAATTCAGTCCTTCGAACACACCCATTAGACCAATCTAAGTTACTCCACTCATCTGGAAATTTTGGTTTGAATCCTTCCAAACATTCACATGATGGAGTGTTCATATTAATGTTGCAACTAGCATATGCACCACACAATGCATAATTGTCACATTGATCAAGTGTCAACCCAGAGAAGCGCGAAAAAGGCTGCCAACTTTGGCTTCGATCTATCCATGTTAACCGCCCTGTAACACCTGATGGACTCAACACCATCCTTGAAGGGACAGAGCTGTTAGTAACATTAAACCTGTAAAACACTTCATTCTGATTTAACACAAACTCAAATCTATAAACAGGATTTTCTCTCAGTTGAGGAACGCCCGTCCAACGAAGACCATTCCATGAACCTGCTCTAAATTGAATTGTATTCCCTTTTGTAAGAACTAGTTGTGGAACCCCATGAGGGTCTATCATATATTTGTAATCGCCATGGGCAGGATCATCTATGCTCCTCCAGGATTACATGTACCTGTTTAGACCAGTAACCAAGTTCACTCCAAGTTTCATACCCGGTAACAAGTTATCACCTGGATAATCAAAGCTTTGCCACAAAAAGTTATCCTCGTTATCATCCTTCTTCGCATCTTTCACAACAAGATTTCCTGATTCTAATAGCTCAGCAACTGGATTGTTTGCAATTTTTGACACAGTTGATGACCAAACGGTGCCATTTGTGCTATTGAGAAGAACAAGAAATCCTTTTTGAGTGATAGTTAGAACTCCAGAGGAATCTGAGAGGGGAATATCTCTGTTGGCTACCCATATAACAGTCCTATCAGATACTTTTCCAGATAGTTTCTTGTACCAAATTCCCACGTATCGGTTTCTTGATTTTCCAGGAGTGAAAAAACCAAGTTCAAAAGCTTGGCCTCGTGAAACAACTGTACTCTCACCATCTCTTATGGATTGGCCAGGGGTAATGGTGTCTACTGTAGTGGCGGTTGTTACTGTAGAAAACAGAAAAGAGAAAATAATTAGGATTGTGCAGCCACCTGCCATGCATAGACTTTCTCAAGCTTTAGCTCTAATTCTGTATCTCTTAATCTTATCGCCTATGTTCTGCTGCCACCACCATAATTGGCCTGGCACAGTACATAAACCATAAATCCTGGTAGGTCGGTAGCGTTAAAGTCTTCAGTAGAGTAAACGACATTTTCCCACCTAAGGTTTGGCAAATCTCCCTACAAGTTTCCTCGTTTCATAAATTACATAGTCCCACCCTTAAATTAACACCATTACTTTTCACTTAAAATAATCTCTGCATCTCAATTTTTTTCCAAATAACCCCCAGAGGATCCCGACCAAGTCAAAAATCCAGCCTAATTCCGATTTTCGACACCATTAGACCTCCCCAACACCACCTTTAGCATCCTCTTATCCTCCTCACCAAAACCTCTAACTTTTCCACCTGGTTGCACCTCGCCGGAATTTGGCTAGAAAGGTGCAACAAAAAAAGAAAACCTAACGGAGAGGCGATGGCGATCGACAGGCAATTGCGGTTGGCAATGTGGGGGATTTTGATGGGGGGAAGCCGATGATGCTATTGGTGGTGTTAAAGGTGGTTTCCAGTGTTGGAGCCTACCAGAATTTGGATAAGTCAGATTTGGATGAAACATCAACTGAAACTAAGAGCGGCAATCGACGATTGGGAGGTTCAATCACTCAGGGAGGTTAAAGGTTTTGATGTGGGGGTTGAAGGGATTGTAATGGTAGTGTTGGGAGAGGTCGACTGCGTCGAGAATAAGCCGAAATGACCTAAAATCACCGATGGGGTGAATTTGAGAAGTCAAGAGTTATTTTAAAATTTTTCAATAGGATGAATTTGAGAAGTCAATGGTTATTTTAAAATTTTTATCTTTGAAATGATCACTTAACCTTTTTAACTGTTAGATTAAACAGTTTTTTTGTTAATTTAAAGGTAGGAATTGTAATTTATGAAATTAGGGGTAGAATATGTGATTCAGCAAACCTTGGGTGGGAAAATGTCGTATACTCCACAACAAAATATCATTTTGGAAGGCGTTTATTGAAAATGTCCCATTATTACTTGGATACACCAAATGCATCTTGTCACATGCTTGACTGGAAATTGTATTTGGGATAGATGATATCATAAGAACTATTTAAAACGATAAATAAAACGAAACTATATACATGATTTAAATATATGATTTAATAATGAGAAAATGACACTTCAACAAACCACACGAATGACTTCTTGCTGAAGACCCCGCTTTACTCTTAACGACTTTGGAGACTCTTTTCTAAAATCCCTACTTTATACAAACGACTTTGATGAATTTTTCCTAATGCCCTGCTTTTTTAAACCCACAAAAGAGTCGAAAAATGTGAAAAAGGATGGGAATATTCTGCAGCCTGCAACAAAATTTTTGTCTGAGATTAATCATTAACTTTAATATGATGATAATTAATATTTCCTAATGCGCTAGAAGATGTGGCCACTCTAAATTAATTAAATATATACTAAGACATCACAAAATTACAACATATATTATTGCATATAACATAACATAATACAAATTAAAACAAAAATATCACATTAATTATGCATTGCAGACAAATATGCGCCACAAAAACCATCACACATGTTGTCACTGATGCCCATGAGCAGTAACTCGCCACTGCAACACCTCCACACACCGCCATGCGCCAACAAAAGGGTTGCATGCGTTGCCATGCGCCTCTAAAGGAAGTCACGTGCTATCAAGCGCCAAACACGTCTTCACACACACGCCCACGTGCCGAGTCTAAATAAGGTCTAAATAAACCGTTTACTAGGTCGGTTTGACCCGTCATGACTCACTAACCCGATTTGACCGTTGACCCGTTCGTTGACCTGGTTTGATCGGTCCATTGATTGGTTTGACTTTGTTCTTGACCGAGTCAAGTTAACCCATTGGGTCGTTGAACAAGCTTGATCGGTTCGGGTTAACCTATTGGGTCGTTGACCATGTTTGACCTTTGCCTTTGATCGGGTCAAATTGACTTGTTTTGGCCTCGATCGAGTCGATTTGACCCGATTACCCAATTTGACCGGTTCTTCTTGACTCGGATTTTGCAACTTTTTAATCCATTTTCGGCAGTTTTTAATAGCCTAATTCTAGCCAATTTTCCAGCATTTTAGAAAGGAAACTTGAACGTGGACGTGTGGCCTATGTCAATGGCATCCCATCCCAAATCGGTGCCGTAAATGGCAGCCGAAATTAATCAAATGGTGATTTTTATCGAAACTTTAAACTAGCATAACTTTGCAGTTACAACTCTGTTTTTGACAAATAATATATAATTGGAAAGCTCTCTCAACAAGGATTTCAATGATACCAAAATAAAAAATAAACATGATTTATACAAAAAATTATGTCCTATTAAAGTTACAGGTTTTAATATAAAAAGTCTCAATTTTATGCAATATATTCCAAATTTTCAACAAACAATTACATGTCAAGTTGAGATTAAAAGAAAGGCTTTGATACCACATGAAAGATCAATAATGGAAAAACACTCAAAACAACATGTATATATATTCATATCATATCTACTATATACATGTTCATACTTTCATTGAATTTGCTAAAGCGAAATAACTTTATCACTAACCTCTAGTCATAGCAATTTGTTGTTGTTATCTTTTTCAAAGATTACAGATTCTAGCACTGCAATTCTTAGAACGATGGTTTTGAGAATATCAGAATTAATTGTGTGTATTGGAGACCTGTAACTGTTCCCCTTTTAAAGTATACAAAAATCTTTCCATTAAAAAACAATTGTTGGGGATAACTGCTCATTTGCTAAGAAATTGTTCAGCAGTTATATATTATATAAAACTAATATATAAAAGTGAAGGACCAAATAGTAATTAATTAATTTTAATTAATTAAAATTTTAACATTTACTATCCAAATTTATATTCTGTTTCCAATTCCGGCATCGTTATGACCCCACACCATCACCATTCTCTTCTCTGATCATCACTCAACAAAACCCCTCAAATCTTACTCTCGCTAGCCCCGTTAATCACCAGCAAACGAGCAATTAAGGTTTGCGTAGCCACCTCTCCTAAGTCAAATTCTAATCAACTCTAACCACCAAAATCTAACTTTCCACGACTAAAAGACTCATTGGCCTCCCTTCTTCAAAAGCTCTAACAGCCTAGACCGAGTTTGCTGTCGAAATATAAATTAGGTAGTAAAGTGGTATTTTAAAATCTTGTGGGTGGAAAAATGTCATCGAGTCATTATTTGGGTACGAATTAAACTCTTATAAGAATGAACAAATATCTTGATAACTATACTACAAGGCAGCTCTTCCTTTTATTCTCTTTCATTTTCCTAGAAAGAGCCAATGGGGTACCAAACCCAACTCATTGTAGACAAACTTAATAATATAAATTACTTGAAAAACTTTTCATCTTTTCTACCATATCTTTTACTTTTTGACTTGAGAGGATACGTTTGTGTTTACTCTTTAAGGTAATTCTAGAAATTACATTATCACATCAAAGGTGGAAGGAGATTATGTCATACCCACTTATCTCTCTGAGGATTTGATTGTGATAGATTTTCTAAAAATAAAGTTGATTATGAGAAGATGGAACTATACCTAACATTCACTTGAGTCAATGACAAAAGAATTTTTTACATATTAGTATTGAACAATAGTGTAATTTGAGCGTAAGAGAGTCAACAAAGGAGAAACCCCCACCCACCAACTTAAATTAAAAAAGGAAAATAATACAGTTATCGAAGAATACACACCGAATTTATGCATCAAATGACGTGGTACAATCCTAACCGTTGATTAATTATGAATTACTATTAATCAACGGTCAAGATTATGCTACGTCATTTGGTACACGAATTCGGTACACATCCTTTGGTAACTGTAGCATTACTCATTAAAAAATGTTGTTAGTTTTAATAATGGATCATTAATTAGGTGGGCTTCTATGCCCAAAATTACGTACCCAACAAGGCTCCAATCTTAGTCCAATGGCACCAACAAGACAAACAATCGATAAGAATTAAAGATAATTTTTCTCTCGTTAAAATTGGTTCATAACTCAATCTTATAAATTTTCTCTCAAAACTTAATATGATAGAATTGGTCAACTCGCAATTGGATAGGTAGAACCCATAGCGAGCAGATGGGATTTATTTGAGAACTGTCACATCAAGATTGTGAGAGAAAGTTCGTGAGATTTGATTGCCTTTATTACTAGGAAAATATCTTCATTGTTCAGTGTGGTATACTAAAATTATTATAGTTTGGATAGCATGTGTCCAAAAGAGTAATGTTATACCCACAATCTCTTCTCATAACTCCGATATGACAACTCGCAATTAATCAATCATAATTTATCAGGTGGGACTCAGATGAGAACTATTACAAGTTGATCAATTATAAACTATCATATTAAGATTGTGAAATAAAGTTTGTGAGAAGAAGTTGCACGCATAGCATTTTTCATGTCCAAAATTGATTGAACAATAAAATGGTTTGATGAAAGACTAATATAGTTTTTTAAATGGGCCCCGTTCCATGCTTAATGCTTGCAGCCCAAAACCCTTTGCAGTTTTGGCTTGGGCTTGTCAACATAACGGCATCCTTAGTGCTTGAACATTGCTACGACACCGTTGGAGAGAAAAAAGAAAACGGCTTTGTTAAAGAGTATAAAAATGCGGTGAACGTGGATCGAACACGTGACCTTCAGATCTTCAGTCTGACGCTCTCCCAACTGAGCTATCCCCGCTTTTGTGGTTTTAATTATCAAGTTTATTTAATTTAACCAAGTATTTATGATTATTAAACCAGAAATCTTCATAGGATTGCATAATCCATACTTTGAATCATTTGAGTAGATATTTTCCTATTTCCCACAAAAAATTTATAATGTAACACAATGTGATGATGACATGTAAGCACCCTCAACAAATTCCTTTTATCTGTAATTCTGCATCGACTAAGAGGACATACTAACAATAACAAATTTGTTGATACTGGCCAAAAAAAAAAAAAAAAAAAAAGGGAACTACAAAATGAATAATAGGACAGTGTTAGATAGAAAAATATTGGATTGACAGCAGACACTTAACGAGCCTCTAACAATGAGAATGTGATTTCATTGTTTGAAGAAAATCTTTGCTTGCTTGATGAGGACTCTGAGGATTCAGGTAGATTCCTTTCTGTGAAAAAACCAGGTTGCTTCGGTTGAGGCAATGATCTTTCACCACCCAACATTAGAACAACAGATGCCATAATTGGCCTATCTTCCGGTGCTTGTTGCACACATAATAGACCAACATGAATGCACCTTAATATTTCAGGTAATGGACAAGCCTCATCCAAAGATCCATCAATTAGCTCCATTGCCCTCTCTTCTATCCACAGTCTCCATGCCTGGAAGTACAGATAAAAACATTAGTAACGTTCCAAACTAAGGCACTTGAAGTTGAAGTTGAAGTTGAAGTTCAAAAGAGTTTTGGCAAAATCTTTGTGCTTACATGTCCAAGAAGATTATGGTTGTGATCAGGGTGTTGAAATCCTCTGTTTCTTTTTCCACTTAGTATCTCCAGTACTAAAACACCAAAGCTAAAGACATCAGATTTCATTGAAAACAGCCCGTCTACTGCATACTCCGGAGACATATAACCACTGCAAGATTACATTGGAAAGGGTCAAGGAGGGGATATTATTATAGATTGCATAAGCTGAATAAGAAAGAAATATAAGCTCACTTACTATGTTCCTGCAATTTTAGTTGTGTTTGCTGTAGTTTGATCACCCCAAAATGTCCTAGCCATTCCAAAATCTGAAATTTTTGGATTCATTTCATCATCTAATAACACATTACTAGCTTTCAAGTCTCTATGTATAATCCTTAGTCTAGAGTCTTGATGAAGATAAAGAAGCCCTCGAGCAATTCCTTCAATTATACAGATTCGCTTGCCCCAATCCAGTAATCTGCTTCTTTTTTCATCTGAAAAGTTCCCCATCAAATTAATTTTTTTAGCTTTATGCTTAAATGAGTACTATATGACTAGAAATTGTCAGTTTGCAGATATATCCTACCAAAAATAAAGTGGTCCAAGCTTTTGTTGCGCATGTATTCATAAATTAACATTCTTTCATTTTGATCATTGCAACAACCCAGAAGCTTTACAAGATTTCGATGCTGAAGTTTAGCAATCAGAAGAACTTCATTTCTGAACTCTACCATTCCTTGTCCAGAACTTGTTGAAAGCCTTTTAACTGCAATTTCTTGTCCCTCTATCAACTTACCCTGGAAAACATCACTTAAAACATTAATCATTTTCTTTTATGAAGATTTGTTGTACAAAAACTTGTTTGCATACTGTGAAGTTACCTTGTATACAGGCCCAAAACCACCCTCTCCCAGCTTGTTATAGTTTGAAAAGTTGTCTGTGGCATTAGCTATGGTGGTTAAATCAAACATTGGTAGTTCCATTTCTCCTTCCCTGCTGTCCTTATTGCTGTAGTCCAATGATTGAAAGCTGTTAGCAGCCCTCCCTGTGAGTTTATCAGAAAGAAATATGGCATGTATTAATTACAATGAAACAACAATTGCTTTCACATTGTTGCGTGTAAAATGAGGGGATTTGGTATATATTGTTTCCTTTCTATAAAATAGAGTCAATTGAACCAAATGTAGTCTAGCAGAGCTTTTGATGTAGCCATTTTACCTTGATTCTTAGGTTTCTTTCTCCGCATATACGCGATGCATCCTAATACAAGTACTCCCATGGCTGCAATTACAGATGTTACTATGATTACCACATGCTTCTTCTTACTGGATTTCCTTCTCTTCCTAATTTTATCTGAAACATTGAAAACAGAGTTATTAAACATATTCTTGGACTTGAGACACAATAATTACAAATTTTAGCAGTAAAATTGTAGGCATGTACTTAATGTAATTAACTACATGCATCAGAACTTGGAAATACTTAAGGAAACTATGAAGAAATACTACAAAGAAAGAGAACTAGATATGTGAACTAGCAAGAATACCTAGTTCTGAAGCAGCCATCCGAACATAGAGATCTTGCCCACCGTCAATGTCAGTATAATCTCTTATGTCAATCAGGTCATCAAACCAGAGCAAACAACCACTCCCCCCATCTCTGACATCTAAATTGGCATATGCCGTACAAGAGCAATTGTCAAAACACAATTTCTCGCATTCCAAAAGGCTGAAATTCTTATCAGCCTTGGAATGACTCGTATCCGGCAATTTTACTGCTGAGAGCTTCAAAAAGCCATCTCCACTCTCACTGCAGTTCAATGGAGTCCTTGGAACACACCCATCGGACCAATCAAAGATATTCCAGTCTCCAGGAGATTTTGGTGAGAATCCATCCAAGCATCCACATTCAGTAGGAGGGTTATTAATGTTACAACTAGCATATGCACCACACAGGTCATAATTGTCACACTGATCACTTATTGTTGCAGAATATGGAGCCCATCTTCGTGTTCGATCTATCCATGTGAAACGCTGCAGCTGACCTGATGGGCTCAGCACCATCCTTGAAGGGACTGAATCATTCAGGATCTCAAATTTGAAATACACTTCGTGCTCATTCAAGACAAACTCATAAGTATATACTGAATTTGGTTTCAGTGTAGGAGCTCCTGTCCAACGGAGACCGTTCCAGGAACCTGATCTAAATTGTATATCAGAACCCTTTCTAAGATATGTTTGTGGATACCCATCAGGGTCTATCTTAAACGTGAAATCTCCTTCGGCAGCATCATCTAAGCTCTTCCACGATGATAAAAACCTGTTCAAACCTGTATCCAAGTTTATGCCAAGTTTCATACCTGGTAATAAAGTGTCACATGGGTAATCAAAGCTTTGCCACAAGAAGTTATCTGGGTTATTATCATCACTTCCATCTTTCACAACAACGTTTCCAGAATCTAAGAGCACCGCCACCGGATTCGATGCTGTTCTCGATGCATTTGATGACCAAATAGTGTCATTGGTGCTATTGAGAAGCACAAGAACTCCCTGACGAGAAATACTAAGAACTCCTGAGTGATCAGAAAGTGGAGCATCTCTATTAGCAACCCATGCAACTGTCCCAGGTGAAACTTTCTTGTACCAAATCCCCAAGTATCTGCTATTTGAGTTCTCTGGACTGAAGAACCCAAGTTCAAAGCTTTCGGCTGCTGAAACCACTGTTTCCCCATCTCTGATAGATTCCCCTGCAGTAATTCTGTCTTCTGCAGTAGCAATTCTTATGGCACAAACTAGAAATGAGTGTATAATTAGGATTCCGAATCCCCTCAAAGGTCTTCTCATGTTTGCATTCAAGCACTGGCTGTTACGTATTTAGCCAAAGTTGGCCTAGCATAATAATAGTTTTATATAAATAAATAGGTATTTTGATTTCCTGTGAATCTTTAAAGCTTGTCAAACACCCTTTCGTGCGGTCTATTTGTATTATTATTTTAATCATACGTTTGGCTACCAAATGAGCACCAAAGTCCAAAAGGTTAAAATTTATTAAGAAGAAAGAGGTCAAGTACAATCAAATAACCGCAGATAATACAAAAACAATATGAAGCCTCTAGAAAGAAGCCAAGACAACCCTGAAAAGACCCAGAATAATATTATAGATGTAAAAGCTCTTCTGCTAATGTGAATTGGTTTTCAGCCTAATTCAAAATGGAAGAAACTGATAAGGTAATGTTACCAGGCCATTACCCATCAGTGACACGTGTGCTTTGATCATGCAGGGGCTATCCACCATTTTTCTCCCTTATTAAATTCTACAAATTAAACAAGGGCCAATCTGTTTCTATAACGTGGGCAACAGGGCAAAGTGGATAGAGAAAGCTTGTTAGTTAATTGGGATTTGAAGTTTACAGATGTTTTGTTGTGATGGTGAGGATATCTTCATATAAGTCTTTGAGACAAATCATAGATTCGTGTTCACATGACTTTATCAACTAACTTAAGGAATTTTCTGTCAGCAAAATAATTCACCAACTTATATTAATTAAATCAAACCATATGATCAGATTAAGACCTTTAACTACTGTAATTTATTTGAAATGCACTGAAATAAACATAACGCCAAAACTGTAGTCAACTGCTCTTTTCTTAAAGTCATTCGACTCCGGAATGGCGGCTTCTTCAGGGAAGGGAGTTGCCTATGTTTAATTCTTTTTTGTTTTTTCTTCTTCTTCTTTCTGTCAAATTCGAAATTTTGCAGAGGAATAATAATGATTTTCACCATTACTTACCATAAAGACAAGCTTCCATCACAACAAATCTCTTATATTTTCATAGATTTCCCCCCCATATTGTACAATTACATTATTTATATTTTTAAGTGTAATCTTACTCTTACATATACAAGCTGTGTATAAATTTTTGTATACAAATAAAGGCTACCTCAACATAAACAAATTAAAGCAACTCTTATCTTCCTGACTAAACATGACTTTAATACAACCCATGGCCAGATAATAAAACCAAATTATTGACTCATTAAAGGCTAATATAATTTAAAAAAAAAAAAAAATTGATAAAATGAAAGAAATAAATAAAAAAGGTGAAACAAATAAGGCTATCAGAACCTAAAGAGATTCTCTATAGCCCAATACAATGGGCCCGTTTGGAACCCTCGGCCCAAGCCTAACAAAAGACGACCCAAGTAAAACAAATTGATTGTATCCACCTGAAATAATCTTACACAAGTTTTTCCGCAAAGCACTACTTACTTGCAGCAAGTAAATTGTTATAAAAACAAGAGTAAACGACTTTTTCCCACTCAAATAGTTATTTGGGTAGGAAAAAGTTGTTAACTCTAAAAATAAATAAATAACTTGAATTCTGTTAATTTAACTTCTTACTTCATGAGTATATGGAACGATGAAACCAGCAAGTAAAAGAATGCTCAATCAAGTCAAGTGGAATACGCTTGCTGTCTTATTGAGAGCTTGTATTACATTATATTGTATGGTAGATTTTTTTTGGTACCTCAGTGGTTTCAACTTTCAATTTTTATTTAACTCCTACAGCTGAAAAACTCTTAGCGAATGTGACTGTGATTTCATTGATTGAAGAAGATTTTCGAATGCTTTATGAGGACTCTGAGGATTCAGGCAGATTCCTCTCTGTGAAAAAAAAAAACCAGGCTGCTTTGGTTGAGGCAGTGATCTTTCACCTCCCAACATGAGAACAATGATGCCATGATTGGCCTATCTTCTGGTGCTTGTTGCACATCTAAATGTCCAACATGAACGCACCTTAATATTTCAGACAAAGAACTATACTCATCTAAAGATTTCATCAATTAGTTCCACCGCCCTCTCCACCATCCAGAGTCTCCATGCCTGAAATTACAGATTAAAAAAAAAAAAAACAGTTACATTCAACACTATGGCACTTGAAATTGAAGTGCAAAGTTTGATAATTCTTTATGCTCACATTTCCAAGAAGGTTATGGTTGTGATCAGGTTCAGGGTGATAAAAGCCTCTGTTTCTCTTTCCACTCACTATCTCAAGGACTAAAACGCCGAAGCTGAAGACATCGGATTTCATTGATAAGAGCCCGTCTACTGCATGGGTTTGGAAACGGATTTGAATAGGTTTGTAACATCCTGGAAGAGTACAGGGGTACTTTGCCACCCAAACCACCATTTTAATCTCCTGGGACTTGTAAGCGAAAAGATACAATGCCAACATCTGTATAGTCTTGTCACAGTTTTGACTGACTGTCATAAAGTTAATGCTATTGCTGTTGCTAATGCTGAATCAATACTCATGAACAAAAAGCAGGGGACTCAGCTTTCTGACTTATGGATTTTGCTATGTTCCAGGTATGGAAATTGTGGATTGAAGGGAGGCCATTGGAACTAATCGACCAAGCTGAATCTTTCACTCCATTGAAAGCGTTAAGGTGCATTCATGTGGCTTTGTTATGTATGCAAAGCCAGAAGATAGACCATACATGTCATCTGTGGTTCTGATGTTGAGCAGTGAGTGTTCTTTGCCTCAACCAAAGCAGCCTGGCTTTTTCATAGAGAGAGATACACTAGTAGCGGATAATCCATTAATCAAGAATGAACCATGTTCAGTCAATGAAATAACTATTACATCTTTGGAAGCAGGGTTGAAGATCAATGCATTATTTTATTTTCAGGTCATATACTACTACACTAGTCTACTAAGATGCCCTTTAAAATAATTGTTGTATTCATATATCAGAACTGGTCATTCATTGAAAAAATTAACTGTCTCCTTGTTTAGACGTCAAATTCAGGCGACAATCCATCTGAGGACATGGTTGACGTGACAGTCTATGTATTTCTGGGAAGCTCTGATTATTCGAGGAGCTGTTTCAAAGTGGTTCTAAGCATCACTGCACAATTGTTTTAGACTTTTTAGTCTTTTGTGTTTTTAAGTTCCATTGCCTGTTTTCTTGGTGATATTTGTCGGAAGGTGAACACTTTTTATAATTGACGAAGAAAAGGCAATCAAGAAGAAAAGGCAAACAATAATTGTTTTGCTTCTCTATTGTGAGATATATTAGGAAAGAAGAATTGGTTTATGATTTTATTCAAGTTAAAATAGGAAAATGATTAAAATTAGAGGAGTTCTATTATAAATTAGAATATGAATCCTAGTAGAATAAGAATATCATATTTTACCTATAAATAAGGGAGAACCAATTCAAGGTTATGAGAGAGGGAGGTAAAAAAAGAGAGAATATGAAGATAAAAGAGGTTCTAATGTAAGGGTACCATATAGTAGAGGGCTCTAAGGATTGGGTAAATACCAAGAGGTATTAAACATCATAGGAATAAGATGTTCGGCTGAAGAATTAGAGGATCCAACGATCACTCAGAATGAAGGTTGATGGTGTGATGAAACACTTGTATCGTATTCATATTATTATAGTGAAAACCCTCTTATCTGTGGATATAGACCAGTTATGTCAAACCAAATAAAATATTGTATGCCTCTGTTCTTTGATTTTATGTTTTTTGCACACCTCCGATTTCAACAATATTCAGAACTGTAACTCCTCTTCTCTTAATAAAATTTCTCCTTAGATCATATTCAAGGCCAAACAGTCGATTAAGGGAATACCATTTGGAGCAAAACGGTTTGGTGTTCTAGAACTTATCCTGTGCATTACTTTAATTGAATTCTGGGTTTCTTAGGTTTTCTTTTCTATGAAAGGATTTTCCTCGTACGCATATGCTTCAAATATTTTCTGTTGGTTTCGCGGTTGCTTTCAGAGAAATCAATCCATAGGCATTTTCTCCATCATCTAGAGTGTCTTGATGGTTTTTAGACACTCTTTTGTCTTCATGAATTCACTAAGCTCTGATAGATAGTAAGAGATTATGGCCTAGTAACATGGAATTTAGCCTTAAATAATGTGATTAAAACATGTATTGAGGATGTATATGCATTGAAAATTTCACAGGCTCTGATACAAGACGTGTATTTTATCGAGCCTCTAGCAATGTAACAGTTACTTCATTGGTTGAAGATGTATCTTGCTTGCCTGTTGAAGAATCTCCTCCTATCAAACTCCTTTCAGCATAAAAACCAGGTTTCTTAGGCTGAGGCAATGCTATATCACTACTCAACATCAGAACTACAGTTGACATGCTTGGTCTATCTTCTGGACTTTGTTGCACACATAATAAGCCTACATGAACTGAACGCAACACTTCGGCTATGTTGCACGAGTCCTTTACCGATTCATCAATCAATTCTATAAACCTTTCTTCATTAAAGAGTCTCCAAGCCTGAAAAGTTTTGAAACCATGAATCTTGTCAAACTGATCAGAAGAAGAGAACTGGTTAAAAAAAAAAAAAATGGCATCATATTGCCACTTACATGTCCAAGAAGGTTGAGCTTGTGATCAGAGTGAGTAAATCCCCTGTTTCTCTTCCCACTGACCATCTCTAATACCAACACTCCAAAACTAAAAACATCAGATTTTACGGAAAAGAGACCATCAATTGCATACTCTGGAGACATGTAGCCGCTGCAGTGAAAAAAATTGAATAAGTTCATCTGCAAATAGCTAGTTGAAGATAAAATGAAGTATTCATTGAGATTGCTTGCTTACTATGTTCCAACCACTTTCTTTGTATTTGCTGCTGTTTCATCTCCCCCAAAAATTCTAGCCAGTCCAAAGTCTGAAATTTTTGGATTCATATCATAGTCTAATAAAATGTTGCTAGCTTTTAGATCCCTATGAATAATTCTTAGTCTGGAATCTTGATGAAGATAAAGAATCCCCCGAGCAATGCCATTGATGATATTGAAGCGCTTAGGCCAATCCAATAATCTGCTTCGGTTTTGATCTGCCCAAGTTTTTCCTTAAAATTACTGTGATGCTGATGGTTATGAAAATTGTGGAAATGGAGTGAAACTAATGAGGGTCTTGAGAATACCATACCGAAAATAAAGAAGTTCAAGCTTTTGTTAGGCATATATTCATAGATCAGCAACCTTTCTTCTGCATGAATGCAGCAACCGAGAAGCTTCACCAGGTTGCGGTGCTGAAGTTTAACAATACATGAAACTTCATTCTTGAATTCATCAATTCCCTGTCTTGATGTCTCTGAAAGCCTCTTCACAGCTATTTCTTGTCCATCATTTAATGTTCCCTGAAAACATTGTTTCTATCAGTGGCAAATCTTTATATGCACTGATAAATTTAAGTTAAAAGATAATTTTGCTTTCGAAGATGTCAGGAAAACTAGAGACCTAGGCTGATACACAAAAATCCAGATATTAAAGCCTTAATGATGTATTCTGCAGATTGCATAGTATCAACAATAATAACCAAGAAGCCATATAAAAATGTTGGGAAAACCTTATACACTGATCCGAATCCGCCCTGGCCAAGCATATTGCTCATTGAAAAATAACCAGTGGCATCAGTTAATGTAGCAAAATCAAATAATGGTAGCTCCAAATCATCTGTCTCTCTTTCTTCAGGGACCTCTTGTTCTCGATTCAGCACCACGGCCCCTGCAAAATTAGAAATAGTGGAGCATAGGAAGGAGGATAAGTAACATTTTCTTCAAGTTCATTCATTTTAACAAAAAGGAGAAAAACAAAGAAAGTGTGCCACAAACTGGCAAAAGACCAAGGACTGTTTTGAAGTCTAGGAAGAATCAAGAAGATTTAAAACACATAATACAATTGAAATGAAATATCAATAAGGTTTAACTGATAATGAAACTTCCTACATTCGATCACCAAGAAGAGCTTGAATAACATGATAAATTTACTTATCCTTACAATTATATCTGAGAAATCAAGAGGAATTACCTTTTCTCCTAAATTTCTTCCTTCTCTTCAAGATAACGAAGATCAGAAAAAGACCTAGGAGAACTATTGCAAAGGATAAAACAGGGATGATTATCTTCCTCACCCGTTCTTTCCCTTTGGAACTTCTGTATGCAGCTGCATAGCGAAATTAATAGGAAATTGTCATTAGATAAATATGTGGGAAATACATTAATTCAGCAGTATGATTATGATTTGGAATAAATGAAAATATTACCTATTTCTGAGGCAGCCAATCTTATGTAAATGTCTTGCCCATTTTCATTATACTGTCTAATATCAATCAGGTCATTGAACCAAAGTATGCATCCACTTCCTCCCCCCCTGATAACCATATTGGCATATGCAGTACATGAGCAGTTCTTCAAACACACCCGCTTGCATTCTTCAAGGTTCATGGTCTTATTATACCAAGACTGCCGTGTGTCAGGCAGTTTAATTCCAGAATACTTCAGAAAATCCTCTCCTTCACGGCAATCCAATGATACCTTCCGCACACATCCATTAGACCAATCAGCTGCAACCCATTCTTCGGGGAATTTTGGAACAAATCCCTTCAAGCACCCACACGCTGGAGAATTGTTTATGTTGCAACTGCCGTGTGCACCACACAGTGCATACCTGTCACAATCATCCATTGATGCTCCTAAGTACAGGTTCCATTCCTGAGTTCTATCAACCCATATGTATCGCTGCAGGGCTCCATCAGGGGTCAACTCCATTCTTGTAACAACTGAGCTGTTAATCAGTTCATACTTGTAGTATATTTCCGTATCATTGAAAACAAATTCAAATGTGTAAATTTGGTTGGGTTTTAAGTTTGGCATACCACTAAACCTGAGACCATTCCATGGACCAGACCTGAACCTCAAAACTGAACCCTTCCATAAAAGAATCTGTGGTACTCCGCCAGGATGAAGCCGGTTTGAATATTCACCTACAGAAGGATCATCTGAACTCTTCCAGGATGTCAGGTCTCTTTTCAGGCCGGTGCGCAAGTCTATGCCAGCCTTCATGCCTGCTAGAAATGCGTTACCAGGGTAATCAAAACTCTGCCACAAGAAGTTTTCAGGGTCATCATCATTCACATCTACCACAACAAGATTTCCTGTATCCAAAAGTCGTGCGACTGGATTGGTTGCTGATCTAGATAACCTGGAAGACCAGATGATGTTATTTGTACTATTGACAAGAACAAGATCTCCTTCAGAAAACTTGAGCACTCCTGAAGAATCATTGAGAGGAATATCTCTGTTGGCAACCCAAACTACTGTCCCGTTAGCTATCTTCTTGTACCATATCCCCACATAACGTTTCTTGGATTTTCCAGGCGTAAAAAATCCCATCTCAAAACTTCCTTCTGCAGACACTATGGTGTCACCATCTTTGAGTGATTGAGTTGCATTAAGATTGTCTCCTGCTGAACAGCTTATTGAGAAAAAGAATGAAATGAAACATATGATTAGTATAACAAAGCCTGCTACTGATATCTTCATTCTACTAGTTTATGGCCAACATCAAGAAAACTTCATCAGTCTTCTAAGTTAAGCAAAGACATTGATTTGCGAAATGAACTTGATTTGGTAGCTAGAGGTTCACTTTTCTGGCTAGTATTTGATCAATCAATCTTTTTCTTTTTGCAAGTTTAGCTTTATATGGAATACTTGGACCAATCATAATAATCATAAAAAAAAGGTCCATTTTTTCAGCTGCAATGAAGTCCATTCATTAATAATGTGTCTTTCAAAATTGACAAATGAGAGATTGACTAACAACGCAGTCAACCATCTAAAAAACTCCTCAAGACTTATTGGTTGAGGAAAACGATTGGATATCACATAAAATTCTTTATTTATATTGTAGAAATTGAAAGTTAAAATTATTTATAAGAATATAACACCAAAAACATTAGATTAATCCACAATCTTAAGTAATGACTCTTGACATCTGACTTATGTGATTATTATAATAATTAAAAAAAAAATTATTCCTATTTGTTTTTCCATCTTGAAAGATAAGTATCTTAATTTCTCTTAAGGCTGCGCTTGAGCCATATTCCACTTTTATGCATTAAAAAATTCATGGAACTACTGCTGGGTACAAGAGAGTTTTTTTTATTTAAAGGAAAACCAGTTTCTCCAAATGGGCAAAACTAATAAAAGATTCACATATTCAGATAGGCAGAACTAGTAATCATAAGAGATCCAACCAGCTGAAGTAGCTGTAATCCACAATATATTGAAAAGTAAAGTAGTTCTTGGCTTCATGCCTAACTCTTGGATGGTTAGATCCCATGAATTTTCTTCTTTATTTATTTATTTTTTTACTCACTCTGAAAGGGTTCTAGACGTCAACAATATTGTCAAAAATATGATTTCCAAATTTGTAGTGGGTAAAGGTTCCAAAGTCTCTGTTTGAAAATTCAATGACTATCATCATCAATACATCATTTCTTTATAGTATTCTGAACGCACAAATATTTGAATGCCTAAAGAACAAAGATCAATCGATTTATAATCCACTTTTCTAGTGGGAAATTATCTGCCCAGAACTCTTTTTGTTATGTAATATGAGCTTTTGTATAAACTTTGACTGTGCGCTTGGTGTTTATTGCTTGGTTTCATACGTGGATTGGCCCTAAAGAATATTATGATTTTTCTAGTACCCGAAGATGTTGGTATTGACAATTACAGTTGGCTCTTTCTGTGGCCATGGTATATGGTTGTGGGGTGGGGTTCAGTTTTCTTGGATTCTGTAGCTTGTGTGGCTACTATACATTGGAAGACCAATCACCACGCCCAATAGTCAAGTCAATTGATCCTAAAATTGGCCCTTTTCCCATTGGCCTGTTCCCGTATTCATTCCATTCGGGGAATTGACCTAAGATGTCAGCATCCTATCCAAGACCTACGTCAAAAATCAGGAATGAAATAGAAAGCCATGAGATTTTTTTGATATTCAGAAATACTTTTATAAAGCGTAACCAATCAAGCTGTTTCTGATTTCGCATATTGGAAAGATCCAAAACTTTTTGTTATTTTCCAGTCTAGTTGCCCCATTTTTAGGGGAAAATTTTACTCCTCGGACATCCGAAGTTTCCATTTAACAAAATAGCCATGAAAATATTTTTGATTTTTTTTTAATTTAGGAAAGCTGACGTGGCACAGGTAGGATTCATTAAACATGTAAAATGGGTTAAAATGAAAAGATTTAAACATATGTAGGCAAAATCATAATTAATGAAAGTTATTTAAAATTTGAAAATTAAAAATGAGCCCCACCCATTCAAAATTGCTTAATCGAACGTATTAGGCAAAAATCGACCGACGAACCCTAAACCCATTCTCTACGATTTCCGACGACTACAGTCCCACATTCTTGCAAATTTTCAATCCATTTTCAATCCTAAAGCTTCCTTTCTTAAAACCATGGCTAACATTCACAAGGAGGAGGAAAACCCAACGTCACTTCGAATCCTAGAGTCTGGCGGCGCAAACAGTTCAATGGCTACTCCGGTGGATCATCCGATCAGTGAAGGTGATCCACAGGTAGAGGAGACGATGGCGGCACAACAATAGAGAGAAGAATCACAAAACAGTTCTGAAGAAGAGGACACTAGCGCGAATTCAGGTGAGGAGGAGGACGCCGGCGAGAATTGAGGTGAGGAGGAGGACGACGGCGAGAATTCAGGCAGGGAGAGGACGCGGGCGAAGAAATGGTACATATTTTTACTTGTTTTTTTAATTGGATGAGAAAATGGATGATTTGTGCGAATTTAGGGGAATTTTGTTGTGCGAGGGGTTTCAGAACATGGAATTTTGTTGGCACACCCTCTTCAGACCGAGGGGTTTCAGATTTGTTGGAAGTGTTTTATTATGACAAAGCTATTTTCAGTGAATCTCTTTATTTTGTGCTTCATAATGCTTTAGTTTTGCATGGATGAACAAGAATGTCAATATTTGACTCTTATATTTTGTGGTTAATTCTTTAAGGCCGCAATGCTGATGTGGATCATTTTGGAGTCTCGTGTCTCAGAGGATGTTTGTTCTATGAATGGATTTTAGGTGGTGAGAAAAGCATGTTGGCATTTGACAATTTTCACAGAGTTGACAAATTTATAGTTTAGCTTGATTTTAGCCTAGTGTTGTTGCTTTGGTCATTGGCATTTTCTGGGGGGGATTATGTTGCCTGAGTTTTAAGTTTTAGAAAGTGAAGTTTGTTATAAGTGGGAGAGGACAACTATTTTTATTCAAAGTTGTGGTTTGTGATGGGCGCTTTCCTTGATTCAGTTACAGACAGTGAAGCAGGTATGTTGCTGTTTACAACAGAAAATCGAAAGGTGTGGTGCTTTTATATTTAGGTTTAAAACATAGTTACATGAGTGGAACGGGTTCAGTACTAATATTTTTAAGGTTTACAATTTGTTTTTAGTCTCCTATGGTGGTTCTTTTCTTATGTTGGTTGGCAACCTTCTTAATGAGACTGGCGCTTCAAATTTATCCTAGATATTGTACATTCAAGGTTTGAATTTTACCAATAGTCATTGCAAGAACAAGAACCATCTTTGAAATGGTGGAAACGATTTCTATCTCTAGCAATAATTTTCCTATTGAAGATCTTTGATATTAGCTTCGTTGCAGAATGACAATTCCCACATACTCGAAGATTCTTCACAATTCTAATTGTTGTCCCTGGCTTAGTACTAATCAAACCGAAAGCAATTGCCAACTTTTCACTATGATGATTCAAGGCTCCTTCCTTCCACTCCTCATCCATGTCATACAGGACTTCCGATGTATCAGGAACAAACCCAGGCTTCTCCAAGAGTGTATCCATTTCATCTAACATCTCATATATTTGTTTGCATTGAAGATGAACTTTGTCGCCCACAAGAAACTCATGAACTACACTGTTGATAATCTGTGGATTATACAGTTTTCATTAGACTTTTTATTCGGATTTCAGGTACTTTTTGGTGCATTTTAACCTGAATTGTTGTTTAATTCTTTACATTTTGTGTTTCAGGTTAAAATGGACATTTTGAGCAAATAAGGACAAAATTGGAAGTTTTTGACTCAGAAGTTAGCGGATCTCAGAAGTTAGGAGAGTTCTGAAGCAGGATAAAGCACGATGAGGCTTGTTCCAAAGGGAGAGCACCGAGAATCAAAGAAGAAAGCGAAGAAGCAAGCAGAGTGGCAGTTCTGTAAATTCAGAACTTTTCAAGTAGCTTCGCCGCGGCGAAGACTTGTCCTTCGCCGCGGCGAAGTACGCCAGACACGAACAAGTCTGCTTCTTTCTTCACTGCGGCGAGATTTCTTCTTTGCTGCGGCGACAGTCGTAATTTCCAGTTTTGTAAAACGCACAGTTTTACTTTGTGCGTGTTTTTCTTAGAAATTTGGGGCGAGGTATAAAAGAAACACTTAACCTTTTTGCCCAGGGTCATGCAGGAAGTAGGGTTAGCAACTTTTACATTTTCTTTGATTAAGCTTAGAGAGATTTAGCGATTAGAAGGGTGAAGATTCGATTTTGAACCAAACGATTCATCAATTGGGGAGATTTCTTGTCCTCTCTCTTACTTTTCGTTATGTTGAACTTGACTATTATCGTTTTTCTTAATTGTAGTGTTAATTTAGCTATGAACTAACCCAATTTGGGTTAGGGTTTTGATTGTAATTCGGATTTCTAATGGGTTAATTTATTGATCATGTTATGTTCATATGACTATGTTTTGATTGTGTGTTTGCTCTGAGTTTTAATGCTTTATGTGATGAACATGATGAGATTGAGAAATGAATCATGTTAGGCTTCTTGGGTAATCACCATTATAGTATTGGATACTAGAGATAGATTCACAAATTAATGAAATCATTGTAGGATTCTTATGCTTAATGAGTTTGGAATTGTTAACTTTCAAATTGTTGGGTGCGGAAAGTTAAAAAGGAAGAATAAGAAAACATAGCCTAAGAAGGTATGTTTAACACCTTAATGAGTTCGGTTTACATTCAATGCATATGAATGTGAATGTAGTGTAATTTTTAGGTTTAACCCATAAAATCCGAATGAAGTCAAAACCCTACCCGTTTTACTTGAATTGATTATCCGTATTTTTCATCTTGCATTCTTAGTTAAATTTTAGTTTAAAATTTATTGTTCAGTTTAATTAGAAATAGCTCCCATCAATCCAAAGAAGTCGATTGCTCCAACTTGAGAACAGTAGAATACTTAGTGCTTAGCTAACAATCCTCATGGGAACGATACTCTACTCATCATTTTATTACTTGGGCGATTAGTATACTTGCTACATATTGCATGTTGTAGGAAACACGCATCAACTGTCCACCTCAATTGAGCTACAACCAGGAACCTTCTTCATTCCCTTGTCATTTAGCCTGGTTCTTATCCTTGCTATATCATCCCATCTACCAACTCCTGCATAGATGTTTGATAATACCATCTGGCTTGAATGCTTCACTGATCATTCTCGAGAAGAGTTCAAGAGCCTTATCTGCATTCCCATGCATGCCTAACCCAGATATCATTACATTCCAAGAAGCCAAGCTTTTGGAACTCATGGTGTCAAAAACTTATGCTGCTGCCTCTATATTTCCGTATTTAGCATACATGTCAA